TTCTGGGTACACAGGACTTGCAAAAAACAGGCCAGGAAGTTTTATTTAAGACAAAAGAGGTGAGGATTTTTATATGGGGTTTAGAGGTAATTGTTGGCTTTAAAACCTTTTTTCTTACAGCACAACTCTACCAGGCTATGATACCCCGTCCCCATGAGCAGCTCGGTTCCTAGCTTCCAGCTCTGTATAGCAGCTAAGCAGTTTTTTTATTGTACAGCAAAACAATTGCCTGCAAGTGTCCATATTCCATTAAGCATATGGAAAAGTATTCAGCCCTTTGTTTTCTGCTGAATGAATATATTTGGCACGTAAGTATTAATTTAGACTAGTCATGGGACATTAGCGCTGCTTAATTGTCCCCATTTTTCTGGGTTTTATTTAACTGACGGAGATTATTTCAGAAATGTGCAAGTTCTTTAACTGTTGCATTCATTGCTGGCTGCCCCTTGCACACAGCAGCGGTGAGATGGTGCCGCATTTCCACCACACAAGATTTTGGAATTACTGGTGTGTGACCTCAGGGGGAGAGCAGGATGAGAAAAAGTCAGCCCCGGACCCCATTCATAGCAGCCAGCACTGGTTTTGCCAGTCCCTGAGTGGTTTCCCTTCCCAGGAGCCCAGCCCAGCTCCTCAGGGATGATGCTCCTCTGCCGTGGGACCACGAGGATCCTTTTCAGCACAGTGCCCAGCTGCGAAGCACCAAGCGCAGCAGGCACGCACCTCCTGTGAGCAGCAGCATTGGGGCAGGTGCCTGCCAGGCTCCCAGGCACACGCCAGGACATGCCGTCCATCTCACTGAGAACCACAGGCTGAAATTTTTTGCCTTCCTTTCCAAAGAAGAACTAACAGCTTCTTCCCCCGGCCTTTGGGGTGAGACTGTGGAGCTTCAGACAAGCTGGTGCTCCTTTCAGCAAAACCCAGGTGGCAGGAAAGTTAAAGCAGATCTCTTTTCCCCGGTGAAGGACTGTCAAGGAGTGACCAGCCCCTGGGGAACCACCAAAAAGTCTCCTAGTGTCCCACCAGCAGTGTGTGTCGCATTTTGGATGCTGATACCTCTCCTTGTGCTGGTTGCGCTTGTCCAGTGCTGCGTGTACCTGCTGCCCCACGGTCCCGCTCTGCAGGCAGCTGGAGCCAGGTAAATAGTACAAGGATTTCTGCTCTCCGAGGATGGTTATCCACTGCACCAGTAAAGACCTGCTCTGTAAAGCCTTCAGCAGTGTGCACATCCCCAGCATTACCATGAGGCCCTGCAGCCCTTAGGCAGGGGTCAGGCAATGTCTCCCCCACCTCGGTGTCTCCCTCTGTCAAAGAGTGGAGAAGGGAGAGCCTCTCCTGGGTGGGGGAGGAAATGAATTCAGGCTCGCGTACTTTGTCAGAGATGCAAATTGCTCTGCAAGTCCTGAGCATTAATTATAGAGCCTGAGCTTCTCACTGGAGCCGCGGGGAAAACAGGCCCCTGGCTCCCATTACATTTAATGGCGTTTGGACACCCAATTCCCTTAGCCTATTTGAAAATCACAATCCCAGTTTCCTCAGAAATATACGTGGTCAGGTGAAATCCCTCGTCCCACCGCAGACAGCGAGATTTTTACAGCATTGGCTTCAGCAGAGCCAGGAGCTCTCCCCCAGGTGCTGGGGTGTTTTCCTTGTGCCACCCACAGATCTAGGGGTGATGTATGAGCAGCAGAGGTCTGGGCAGGGAGCTCCACGGACACACTGAGATGCCCAGCTCTGGCACCGTGGCACCATTGCACAGGCTGGCTCACCACACCAAGCTGGAGATTGTCCCGCTGCAGGATCCGGGGCATGGGCATGGGGAGCCCCGCTTGCCTGGGAGGTGACCTGAGCATGGGGGCAGAACTGCATTCCCCCAGCAGTGCTTCATGTCTCACCCATTTAAGCCACTGCCTCTAAAAAGCAGCAGCTAGTTGTCCCTTCGCCAGTCCAGCAGCAGACCCGTGAGGCTATGGATGCCTCCTGCTGTGTATTTGCAGAGCACCGATGTGATGGCACAGTCTGGGGCTTGGGAATTAGATAAGAAATAATGCCAGTGGCACAACTGGAAAAAAAAGGAGGAAGATCAAAGTTTTGGAGAGTTAGGAGCAGAGGATCCCTCTGGCCAAGTGAGCTGTTCGTGGTAGTCAGCTCCGGGAAGCCACGTTATTTTGGGATGTGCTGCGCCATGGGATGGCACTTTGCTAGAATTGTAGGCATACAATGGTGAGAGGTGGTCCCTGCCTGGGAGGGCTTGCAGGAACCAGACCTGGCTGCGAGTACGGCTGTCCCCATCCGGAGATGGAGATACACAGCAAGGAGAGGCTTTAAGCAGAGCCGTGAGGAGAAGCCTGCTCTCCAACCCGGTCTTCACGCACACGGTCAGCCTCACGTTGAAACACTGCCCGGATCTCCAGCTGCATGCATTTTGGGTGAATTCTTGATCTTTTTCCCAGTGTTACCTTTTTGGCCAGGGTGGAGTTTTCCTGTTCTGAGGAACTCCAGCGTTTCTGCTCAATTTAGCACAGAGAAAATGAACGGCAAACCCTTCATATTGTTATATACATTTTAGATGTCGGCCTCACAGTTTGATCAGCGGAGGCTCCGAAGGCTCATAAACCTGGTAATACATAGTTTCAAGCCTGCATCAAAGAAGTTCACAACCCTTTTGGGAGAAGCTGTGAGTACTGATGAAAGAGGGAACTTATTGTGTATGTAAGAAAACTTCTTTCATGGCTTATGTATTAAGGCAGGCTCTGTGGCCCAGGGAAGATTGGGGCTGCTTTTAATTTACATCCCTCCTCACTTATATTAAGTCTTCGTCAGAAGAAAAGTTAGTCAGATGTTTTCTTAATGACATCATTTTTTTTAATCCTGTTTCATTTTTTCCAGATGAGGCGGTGGAGATTATTAGAAATGAATTGAAACTAAATCTGGAACAGAGACTTTGATTCACTTCTCCCTCCTCCCCAGTAGAAATAAATTGGTCGGCTCCGTGCTCGGCCTCCTTTATTAGCAGCCTCGACAGAAACCAGCCCCGTCGGCCTCGGCTGCAGCTTTCCTGAGCTTGCTGCCGCCATGGCTGACGTCATGGCGAGAGGCACCAGAGAGTGACTTGGAGAGGGACTTCAGTCACCCCGTAATTTTGGTAACAAAATGCCATAGTGATGCAGGTGGGGAGATTATGAGGTCTGAAATAGCCATTCCATCATTAGTTTGTCTTTCAGTGCCGTAAAGGAAAACAGGCTCGATGCTGGTGGGTGTTCTTCTACTGAAACCCTGGTCTCGGTCCGACGAGCATGTGTGCGTGTGTCGGTGGCAGTGCATCTCCGCAAGTCCCTTACATCTGATAGGTTTTCACTGCCTTGTATTTCACACCAGTGAGCCACAGAGTGTATTGCTACAGGAAAGTACTTTGAACTATAAATATTTTAAAAGGCATTTAATTTACTACCCATCAGCAGAAAGTGTTCAAAAAGCCACAAGGTTCACTAATTTATCAGAAAGACAGAGAAACATGCGGAAGATCAAACAAAGACAAACATGCTCGTAAACTGCTGAATAAGTCTGCAAAGCTTATATTACATTTCTGTGTGGTTTTGTTGATATGCAGGTATTACAAATAAATTAAAATGCACCTGAACTGTTGATAAGGCAGGGTGGGACCAAGATCCTGAGATGCAGGTGGCGTGCCTAAACTGCTCAGACCCTCGTGTTTGCGGTTGTGCATGGAGAGACAGTTCTTACGTGCACTTGCTAATGGCATATTTGGATATTCTTAGGGAAGGACCTTTGTAATACTGTCCCTTACCTCAGCCCTCATCCCAGATCCCTGACCTCTGAAATCCCAAATCCTCATGGTCTCCCACGCCTGGGGTGCAGCCCCATGGGGTGCACACCCATCTCCTTCAGCTTTGCCAAAGCACCCAGCCAGGGACGAATGTCGTCCTGGCCATGACCTGCATCTCCACACCAGCTCTGCTTCCAGCGGTCTGTGAGTACAGAGAGCTAATGCAAAGCAGATTTTACTATTTTGCTTAGCCAAATGACAGCTCTGCCTCTTTTGGTGTCTAGCTCAGATTTTCTGCTTATCAGGTCAGGGTGTGTAACTTTTTCTTCCCTCCTTGCAGCCTCTGCGGTTTGTCTAAGAGGCTGGGAGGGTACAGCAGGAGACGTGGCTGGGAGGTGTCCACCCACTTTGTCTTCCATCTTTGCTCATCCTGAGAAAACTGCTCAAGTGCTGAAACATGCTTGTGACTTTTTTTTTTTTTTTGTTACCTGCTGAATCCCTCAGCATTTACTGACTTCTTTCTCAGGTAACACTTGGCCTGAGGAAGATCTGAGGGATTTAACAGAGGTGGCCCCCAGAAAGCATGCAATAAAACCTCTCCTGAACTTTTGCCCTCTGAACCATACCACCGACCTGTCAAGGAGGTTTGTGCAATCCGTGATGGACGCAGGCGGGGAGGGCTGCTCTGCCGTCGCTGGCAGAGCCATGCATGCTGAGCTGAGCGAAACACATCGCCTCCAGATCCTATAAGTACTCCTTGCGCCTTTTGCATCCTTTCGTAGGCAGCCCTGTCCGGGGCTTTACACATGGCAGCACTAAACATCTGGACACCTGGGGCAGTCAGGAGCTTGCAAACCCTGGGTTTGCCTCGAATGTCTTCATGTAGCCAGCCTCCCCGTGCAAGGCGACAGGGTGAGATCTCTAGCACGGGGAGTGCTCCGCACAGCCTGCATGTGCAAGCGGTGCCCAAAGCAGCTCATGCCCCTTTTCAAGGCAGCCACATTGCATAAACACATGTTCAGTGCAACGCAGTCCCTGGGAAGCTTGTGCTGGCTGCAGGCCCTGCGTATGCCAAGAGGGGTGTTTTTTCCCCACCATGTCCTCAACCTCCTCCCTCACGGGCAAAGGCAGTGGAGTGGGAGGGAGAAGGGCAGCCGGCGGCCATGCCCGCTCCGGGGAGGCTGCGAGTGACAACGTGTCTCTGTTTCCTTCCCAGGCCTCCTCCCCTGAGCGGCAGCCCTGTCATCTCCGACATCTCCCTCATCCGCCTGTCTCCGCACACCGCCGGGCCCAGTGAGTCGCCCTTCAGCCCGCCGCACCCCTACGTGGCACCCCACATGGAGCACTACCTCCGCTCCGTCCACGGCAGCCCCACACTCTCCATCATCTCCGCTGCCAGGGGCCTCAGCCCCGCTGACGGTAAGATGCTGTGCTACTGGTACCGCAGCAATTTTGTAGCTTACCAGCACTGAAATTCTCTAAAACCCAGGGTTTTACAGCTGCAAAGGCTCTGCAGCTGCTCTCTGAAGTGGGAGAGCTGTCTCTTTTTCTGCACACCCCCCCCTCCTTTAACTACACATTTGTTTTGCATCATTGCACTGAGAAAGCAGAGCGTGAGAATAGCTATTACCACTGGATCATATTATAAATATTTTGCTTAAAGTACGTTCCTCTCTGCAGCGCTCTCAGCTCTCTTACAAGCTTCCCTGCTCTTATGTCTCTACTGGGAGCCCTGCTTCCCCCAAAAAGGGTCACAGTCTCTGTGGCTGCCTGGCCTGGCTGGGATTGACATTGCAGAGATGAGGCAATGCCGACCAGGTTATCCCCAGCTTTGTGTCTCTGGGCAGGATGGCTCCCAGGTGAAGGAGAGGGGCTGTACTTTCTTCCTCCTTATTCCTGAGCTGCCCCACAGCAGCTTTTGGGAGAAGGCGAGGGTGTGTGGGGAGCTGGTGCTGGCGTGGTGATGCTCTTTGAGCCCCAGCAGACCCTGTGTCGGAGAGCTGGGGACAAAAGCAGCCAAGCAGGGAAAGGGGAAAAAGCACAATTCTGCTTTCCCTTGGGGAGGTGCAAGTCATAGAATCATAGAATCGTTTAGATTGGAAAAGACCTTTAAGATCATCGAGTCCAACTGTTAACCTAACACTGCCATCCCACCACTAAACCATGTCCCTAAGCACCACATCTACCCATCTTTTAAATACCTCCAGGGATGGGGACTCAACTACTTCCCTGGGCAGCCTGTTCCAATGCTGGACAACCCTTTCGGTAAAGAAATTTTTCCTAATAATGGTGCAACTTGAGGCCATTTCCTCTTGTCCTATCACTTGTTATTGGGCAGAAGAGACCAACCCCCACCTGATTACAACGTCCTTTCAGGAAGTCGTAGAGGGCAATAAGGTCTCCCCTCAGCCTCCTCTTCTCCAGGTGAAACAACCCCAGTTCCCTCAGCTGCTCCTCATAAACCTTGTGCTCCAGACCCCTCACCAGCTTCATTGCCCTTCTCTGGACACACTCCAGTGCCTCAATGTCCTTCTTGTAGTGAGGGACCCAAAACTGAACCCAGTATTTGAGGTGCGGCCTCACCAGTGCCAAGTACAGGGGCACAATCACTTCCCTGATCCTGCCAGCCATGCTATTCCTGATACAAGCCAGGATGCCGTTGGCCTTCTTGGCCACCTGGGCACACTGCTGGCTCATATTCAGCTGGTTGTCAACCATCACCCCCAGGTCCTTTTCTGCCAGGCAGCTTTCCAGCCACTCTTACCCAGGCCTGTAGTGTTGCATGGGGTTGTTGTGACCCAAGGGCAGGACCCGGCACTGAGCCTTGTTGAACCTCGTACAGTCGGCCTTGGCCCATCGATCCAGCCTGTCCAAGTCCTTCTGCAGAGCCTTCCTACCCTCCAGCAGATCAACACTCCCGCCCAGCATGGTGTTGTCTGCAAACTTACTGAGGGTGCACTTGATTCCCTTGTCCAGGTCCTTGATAAAGATATTAAGCAGAACTGGCTCCAATACTGGGCCCTGGGGAACACTGCTTGTGACCAGCCGCCAACTGGATTTAGCTCTGTTCACCAAAACTCTTTGGGCTCAGCTGTCCAGCCAGTTTTTTACCCAGTGAAGAGTACTTACTTCATCAGAAGTGCTTCCTTACATGATTACAAGCAGCTGGTTCAGTGCGCAGGAAGTAGCCAAGGTTTGGGGACCTGGTCTCTGCACACTCTGCAAACCCAAGCATCTCTTGGCTCCCGAGCTGCTGCGGGGGCAAGCGCCCCTTCTTCACCATGAAGCAAAGTGTACCAGAGAGCGACAAGGCCCCTGGCTTGTGTTCGGTGGCGTAAAACCACCTTCTATGGCTAAAAAAAAAAGGGAGATGTATGCGTCTTCTTCCCTCCCCTCAAATGTCACCTGAACTCCCAGCTGCCTGCCGCAGAGAGGTCTGATGGCTGACATGTGTGTGCTCTGCCCCATCCTCCCCTTCCAAAGCCAGTTTCGTTATTTGCTATGAAAAAATACGCATGGTGTTTTGGGTTGCTTTTCTTTTCCTTTTATTCTTTTTTTTTAAGGCGGTGGTAAATAAGTTAATGGGACGAGTGGGTGGAGAGGCAGGTTTGAAAAATTACAGCTGGGAGAAAGTGAGCATAATTGGCTTTGGCAGCCAAAATGGCTTTATGCTGCCAGACACTAAACCTAGCTCTATGCATTAGACCTTGGCTTTAATTTCCTTGCGCTGCTATCGGGAACTGGGCTGCATTTGTCTTTCCTTCCTAATAGGCAGGGATGTTAATGCTGACAGGGTTACTGCTGCTGGCGGGCTGGGCCCTCTCCCTCCTCCCCGGGGTGCCGGCTGCGTCCGAACGGGAGGATTATTAGAAGGGGGAACGAGAGATTGTTTATAAATTTGCGGAAATGGAGGAATGCAGAGGCCCCAGCTTAGTTTCTTTTGTCCGCAGAAGCACGCCCAAGCACACGTCACAAGAGCCTTACTTGGAGCCGTGCAGCCAGGGCTGGCGGGGGGCGCGGGGGGGAGACGGGGCCGCCAACGTCAGCGCCGAGGTCTAATGTTGCGGTGGGAACCTTCTCCCCATGTTTTCTTCCTCTCCCGTGGCTCCAGCAGTGGCTCACGAACACCTGAAGGAGCGAGGTCTCTTCGGGCTGCCCCCACCGCCACCGGGAGCCAACCCCACTGACTACTACCACCAAATGACGCTGATGGCCGGCCACCCGAACCCCTATGGGGACCTCCTGATGCAGAGCGGGGGAGCAGCCAGCACAGCCCATCTTCATGATTACCTCAGCCCCGTCGACGGTGAGTAGTGGTCTGGGTCCTCCCCAGCATAGCTTAAATTTTGGGACAGATGGATGGGTCTGTCCTCCAGGTGGAGGTTGCTGTACATGGTCCCTCTGCACTGCCAAAACCCACCGGTGCCGCACTATAACTTTTGGCTTAAAAGGTCGCCTTGTCCCATATATATGTATAAAATATACATCATTTGAAATACATACGTTGTGGCCTCTTTGGGAGGATGGTGTGGCTGCTGCACGGGTAGGAGACAGCCTGGTCTAGTGGGCAGGGAGTTGCTGCCATCCTACTCTCCTGGCCATGGGTGACCCTACCACCCCTGGGGACGAGCTCCTTTTCCAGCTCCCCATCCCACCCTGTCTGCCCCCACGTTTAAGCTGGTTGGTGTCTGGGGCAAAGGCAGGCTGTTTCCATGCGTAGCCATGCTCAGCACGATGGGCTTCTCATCTTGGTTGGGACCTCTCAGGTCCCCAAGGAGAAAAAATATGTTATTGGGGAACCACGGTGTAGAGGATATGTTAGTATTTCATGGGAGAAAAAAATTGCAGGAATGTGGTATTTATGCTAGTATCAGGCTTTATAAGCCCAGAAGGTTCTGGCTCCTGGCTAAATGAAGAAGAAATAAAACCATGTTAGGCACTGTGGTGCTGAGTCACCCCCGGTGGCCTGACCGCTGCCCTCATGAGATGGGTAAAATCTGTACAGAAATGTATCCAAGGTCCAAGTGATTTTTAGAGCTGTTAGGAATGTCTTTCCTTTCACTTCATGCCACATCTTGTAAAAACTGGGGTTGCACAGATATTGCAGAGGGCAGTTTGGGGATTATTTCTGCTGCAAGAAAGAGAAGTCTTGGCTCGACTTTCAGATACCGGCTTCTGTTTCCTGGGCTGCCTTCAGATTTGCCTGTGGACCATTATAATTTTTGGAGTGGAGATCTGCGTCGTTTCATTACCGCTTCAAAGTTTCTGTTGTTGAGCTTTTAAGATGAAAGACTTTGCGGTCTTGCTGCTTCATAAAGTGACTGGTTTAGAATGATAAAAGCTGCTCTGGCTTCTCAGTGAGAGGGGCTTATAGATATTTCTAACGAAAAAACAATTTCTCATCTGCAGCTCCTGCAGAAGTATTACCTGAATAGTCATTTTCTGCTGCCAATTCCTAGATTGATCGGGAACCTGGACCCTAGTCTGAAAAGGAGAGCACATGCTCCTTACTACCATCCTGCCTCTAACACTCAAATATATATTCCAAGCTTCTCTGCTACAAAGCAGCTGGTCAGTAAGACTGTTCTGTCTTCCCTCCAAAGGGTTAATGTCTGTGGTTATAGCAGATGGGTGTAAACCCGCCCTGCCAAGTTCTCCTTGGGCTCATGAACAAGACTCCTTCCTCCTTGCCTCCTTATTAGTCCATCTCTGACCAGTGGTGCCGGATAAACAGCCAGTAAGGGAAGCAAACACAACTGTTTTCATGCTAGCACAGGCTGACTCTCGGCACACCAAGACACCCACCCTCTGGTTTGCTGAAGTTCAGTCTTTATCTGAAGTCATCTGAGATACTCCCCTTGGCAGAACACTCTCTTCCTGCTTGCCTTCTCCTGAAAATGGCTCTAGAGTAAATCACGTATCAAAGGTCCCAGTTTCGTGCAGCCAAGCTCATAACCATTACTCACTGGAAAGCCAGGGCTCGCCAAGCAGTTATTTTGATCTTTCGGTAAAGCCTTTGTTCGTGAGTAACTGGAAAGCCTTTTCTGGGCCTTCGCATGGTCTGAGTGAGATGAAAACTTTCAAACGTCATGAGGATATGACATGAGACACCGGAAGGCTACTGTTTAAAAATGTGAAAAGGAAGCAGCAGCCAGTCTCTGGCCTACATGTTCGGGTTTATCCATCAGCTGGAGAGAAGAGAGACCTGTGCATTATCAAGGCAGAGACTAAAATGGATGGCTCTGAGGAACACTGGCTGAGGAACCAGAGTCTCCCTCTCTTTTTAGAAAGTTATTTCAAAAATTTAAATCAGCAGGGACTAAATAAATAGTTGAACAGATAATTTACTAAACCATCCTCTTATGGTGCTTTTCTGAGACAAGAATATCAGTAGCATGCATGAAACCCCAATGAGTCACCGCCTTACAGCATCTTCCATTCAGAGAGCCCTTTGCTTACCAGAGAGCCCCAGAACATAAGAACTGTACAAGAATTAGTTTGCTGAAAAGGCAGGTAGCTCCTGTCAAGCCACATGCAGCACCATCACACAGCTGTGATAACACTGGCACCTGCAAAAGAAAAAGCAGCATATAAGCATGTATTAAAACTGGCCTATTCAGTGTCACATCTCCTCCAAACATCTGCAGGTGCATGGGAGCCCTAGACACTGGGCATGGTGGTTCTTCCACAGACGCATACCTGGGCTCTTCTGGGTGCTGTAATTGCATTTGTTGGAGAATTTCTCAATGCCTCCGTGTTTATCGGTGATTTTTCATCCCATCAGGTGTCTAGGGTCTAGGGCATCGGTGTCGGCTGGAGCTTGTTGGTACCGACCATGTGTCAGGTCTGCTGAGTGTTTCAGCGGTGACTGAGGTAGGGTGCCCCAGAGCTGCATCTCTTTAGCAGGGTTTTCACTGCGCAGCTAGAAGCAGTTAAACCACTAAAGTAGACGACATTTAAGTTCTATGCACCAGACTGCTGGCGTCTTCAGGCCAGTGCTGGTGGAAACTAAATAACCCTCCAGTTAGCTGTCCTGTTTCATTCTGTCATTCAAACAGGGACTCTAAATCCAAGAGTGGAGTTTGAATCCAGGCTTAAATCCATTTTCTGGAAAGCCTACACTTTCAAATCAAAAGTTAACTGCTCTCCAATGTCACAACATTGCTAGTGGGACGCTTTTGAGCCTAATTTACAGGATCTATTCACCAGATCAAAACAATCTTTTGCATTTCTATTCTAGAAGTGGGTGCCACATGGGCGGATTATTCCAGGTGACAGAGTGGTTGAACAAGAACATTCCTGGGGCAGCAAAGACTGGTGGGGAGCACAGAAGAAGCTGGAGATGACTACAACTTTCTGAGCATGCTGAGTGCATCTGACTTTTTCTTTTCCTAAGCATAAGGGCTCCTGTGATTACCCTCCGCCCTTCACGAAGTACCAGTTGTTCTCAAGAGGAGAGTATCCAGACTGACTCGATGCTTGTAGTGTTATAGCCCTGTACATCAGAAGTTCTCAAAGTACTGTACAAAGCAAAGCTGTTTCATCACTGGAGACCCCAAAGAGAAAGGAGATCAAGTGAGCAGAGAGCCATGGTGACTCTGGGAACAAGACCCCGATCTTCAGAATAAGGACTCTCATGGCCAGGGTGGGAAGCAGAGATCATCTTTAAATCCATCAGTTCTGTTTGCACAGTGTCGAAAGTTTGAGTGGGTTGTCCGTACTGAGTCAGGGAATGGGAGAAAAAGGTCTCGAGTTCGACTTAGGTCCAAGTGACGCTGCACAGGGGCAGTCACTCGGGTCAGGAGGGCTGCATAGACGTGTTTGTGCACCATTACCGTTACCAACAGCAGGGATGACCCTGCAGCACTCCCATGACATTTCATCCAGTTGTGGAACTAGAGCGGGGGATCCCTGCCCTGTTTTTTGCTGCCTGGTGCATGGCAGCCACGAATGTCTTGACTATGACCAGCAGTTTAGCTGGGAAAAGGCTTTGTTCAGCCCAGGAGAACCAACTGGCTGGTGGCTGGCGCAGTTGCCTGCCACGTGGGCAAATCATCAAGCAGGACTTTATTCCCCCAAGTCAAACAGTGATTCAGCTTCACTGGCCTCTTTCAGCCAGCGTTGTTGGAGCCTGTCTACTTCAAGCAAATGATTTAGGAGCCATTGGGGTAAGGAGCAGGGCTGGCAGCGCAGCCCAGTGTGGTGTGTGTCTGCGAGAGGTGAGCTCAGGACTCCCCTCCAGCAGGTTTAGGCAAAGGGACAGCTCCGTTAGGATGGATGGAGAGAGCCCAGCCTCACGGTGTCCTCAGAAAGAAGTGCCTCGCCTGGGGCTTGAGGGACCAGCAGCTCTGCATTTGCAGGCTGGATATGCTGGATCACAGATGACTTCCCAAACAAGCCAGCTGTTGGCTACTCCAGGCAGACGGCGCGCCCTGTAGTCGCTTCCTTAAAAACTCTAAAAGATCTTTTTTTTTTTGTTGTTTTCTTTGTCCCAGCACAGAATGGAAACTTGCTGAAAACTCAGAAAAGGTTCAGAGAATGGGAAACTATTTCCCACCCATTTCTAGCCAGCAGTGCTATTTTCCTCCCCAGAAAAATATGTGCAGAAGAGAGAAAAAGTCCCAGAGCATCCCATAAGCGCGCTGTCTGGAATCCTGCTGCACTCTGGTTTCTAAAGAATTCAATTTACATATGCAAGTTGGGTCCTCTAAACAGTTACCTTGTGGATTGGGAGTAGAAGAATGCAGCCTTGTCTTTCAGCAAGGATTTGAGGGAAGCATTAGTATTCCTTGAACTGCAAAGTTGATCGGGCCCAGGGAGGGAAGAAAGAAGGGTCCCAGGACAGTGTCTGGTGCCAGAATAAATGTCCAGCATCTGCTGCAGTCCAAGTGAGACGTGTGCTGCTGCTGCAGAAGGGGAGAAAGGGATAGGGTTATGAGAAGAGTGTTCGTAGTTTATTGCTGCTGCTTATTGATTAAGGGATCATCCTGTGTTTTTATGCTGCTCTTGGATTTAATCTAACAACAGGAGGAGGGGGATGTTTCATGTACGTTTTGGGTGGAGTTTTCTTGGTGAGCAGCCAGGAAGAGGGACCATTTTGATAATGCTGTGTTTATCCCGGGGCTTGGCCAGGGGATGGAGGGTAAGCGGTGGCTTACCGTGGCCGTGTTTCAGTGAGGAGAGGGGGTGAGACATCTGCAGCCCACTTGCCTTATGGGCTCGGCCACTTGGAAGCAGGTTCCCCTGATGTCCCTCTGCAGAAATGTGCTTGTCTGTCAAGAGATGCCTGAGGTTTCCTTGCCCTGA